CTCCCTGCTCGGCGGGGAGTCTGCTTCTCCCTCTGACCCTCCCCCTCTCATGCTCTCTCTCTCTCTCTCATTCTCTCAAATAAATAAATAAAATCTTAAAAAAAAAAAAAATACAGTGGGTCTTTTAGAAGCAGGCTAGATTGGCATTGTACCCAGTAAGGGGACTCACCTACATCAGCCCCTTCACTCCTTCCTCCCAAGGACACTGAGAAAGAGCACATCACCCTCTGACCTTTGGCCTCCCTAATGAGGTGAACCCACCAGCTCTGGCTCAAAGCTGAGCTCTGTCCCGGCTTCACCACCCCTGGGTACTTCTGCCCGCAGCGTCCTTGGGTCTTTCCGCTTGCCTGTTTTACAGTAGCCGGTCAGGAGATCCCAGAGGATCATAAACTCTCTCTTAAAAATTGGCATTAAAGCCATTCTTCCTGCCTTTTGAGAAAGAAGATACTGATTGTGTTAATAAAACAACATCAGGCATGGTTTCCCAGCCCCTTTTTTGTGCACGTCTCTGAACCGACGAGTTGCTCCTGCCCACCCAGGGGAACCGGTCCTCGGGTGAACGGACCCTGAGGAAGACCTCTGTAGGAGCAGTACCCCAAAGTGTCTGCGCGTGCCTTTTAGGAGGCCGGTGCATTTCTTTCCAGAGTTGTTCTCGCCTCAAGAAATGCACTTAAACTTTCTGCTGTTTACTTGGCTCTCTCCAAATGCCACAGGAAGGGAATTTTACAAGGTGCTTGAGAACTCAGTGGTTTGGAAATTCCACAGAACAACCTTTCTTAAAATATGCCAGGGGTTATTTATAATTCTATCCTCAGGGCCCTGACTGTGGAGTCTAAGCCTTACAGGAGAAAGGGACTTTTTAGCAGGGTCTTTGGCACTCATAGTAATTAAAGCTTTTTGAACTGGGGCCAAGACACACCTGGATTATTTTGAATTCCTCCTCTGTAAGAAATACATAGAGTTTCAAAGAGCTTGCAGTGAATCTGGTTCCATGGAACTCTGGGAAGCACAGATTTCAGGAGAGAGCCCTTTCATAAGTAAACATTAACTGGTAGTTCATGTCCCTGGCGATCAAGTGGAAGGTCTTGATGGGTAGGCCTCCGGAGCCCCTCCATTTAGCCCCGGCGTCCCCATAGTGAGCAGGCAATGCCATGACTGCCTTCCAAATCTCTCTTGGTGAAATCACAGCACCTGCCAAATAGAGACAGTGTTATCAGTGCTCTCTTGGGCTCTGGGTACATCAGCTAAGTCAGTGAATCAGTGAACATTTGGGGAGCTGATTGGGAAATTGACTGTGTATATCTGATCAGAAATGTTTAGAATGAAGGGGTGCAAGTAACATAATTACATAAGGAAAAACGTGACTGCTTTCTTTTTTTCCCTGTTCTCTGGACCTGAGCACACACATGTAGCTATTAAAGGTTAAGGGAGGCCTTTGTAATATTGCTTGTGCTTTTAGCTCCTGGAACTTTCCCCGACTCCTACCCAAAAAAGTTTCTTAGAATAGAAAGGCTGTCCTCACATATTTAGTAAGAAGATACATAGTCTTAAATCTCCAAATGCTCAGGGATTATTCTGAGTGTACTGGGGCTTGACATTAGTAGTACGGATTAAGAAAAGAACAGTTTAAGTGGTTGGGGGTGACTTTAGGAGGTGCCTTATTTTCAGGGGGACAACCTGTGGGCGGTGGTGCGGAGTGAGAAGAGAAAAGAAGCTGAAAGGGAAAGATGGTCCTCGTTAGCTGCGGGGGTTGCAATTCCTGGCATCGCCAGCAGGGGTGACCGATAGAAGAGGTTCCCCCACAGGGTGAGGAGCGAGGGTCAAAATGTACCTCATTAGCTCACGAAACAGGATATCTTGCCTGTGTATGTGTGGATGCGTGAGAAATGGCTAGGTGCACCCCAACATTGTCACCCTTAAAAGCACAACTCATGTTAACAGCTAAGCGAAACCATAGTGCAGTAAAAAGTTGTAGTGCATACGGTGCTGAATCCACAAGAAATGTGGGGGTACAAGATGGATAACAGATGGGGTCCTGAGGGACAGATCTGGGTCCTCTTGTGAATGGCCAGAGCAGAGCTCTTTAAGGTTGTGTCATTCTTAAAAGTCTGTTCCAACCTTGAAAGTGGCAAGCTCAAGAAAATACAGACCTTGTGTGCTCTTGGTTCGTGTAATCTGGGGAACAGCATGGTTCAGAAAGGGCAGTCCGTGCAGTCTTTAGCAGGCTGAGTTAACCAGTGCTGTGAAGCAGGGCCGATAACTAGAGGCCAGTGAACCAGGAAGTCAGTGGAGTGACAATTCCAGAGCCTTTTGCTGGCCCAAGCCCCTTCCAAGGCTGCAGGCTCATGTGGTGAGATTTGCAAAGGTAGGATATCTAACTGCAAAGCATATGTAGCCATGCAATGAACATATTATAAAGTGTGTCAGGTACTTAATGAATGGAAACCATATGCTGTTGTTCTGAATTCTGCGATATTTGTCATCTTTTAAAAATTTATCATCCGAGGGGTGCCTGTGTGGCTCAGTCGGTTAAGCGTCTGCTTTTGGCTCAGGTCATGATCTCAGGGTCCTGAGATCGAGCCCCGCATCGGGCTCCTTGCTCAGCAGGGAACGTGCTTCTCCCTCTGCATGCTGCTCCCCTTACTTGTGCTCTCTCTCTCTCTTTCTATGACAAATAAATAAATAAAATCTTCTAAAAAAAATTTATCATCTGGGGGCACCTGGGTGGCTCAGTCAGTTAAGCATCTGCCTTCGGCTTAGGTCATGATCTCAGGGTCCTGGGATCGAGCCCCACATCGGGCTCCCTGCTCTCTGTTTGTCCCTCTCACTCTCCCTCTGTGCTCTCCCTCTCTCAAATAAATAAATAATTTTTTAAAAAAAGTTAGCATCTGTTATTTCTTTTCTCATTCTAAATAAACTTTATACCCAATTTTGTATTTCTTTGTATTCCTTCTTTTTGTAAGAGAGAGAGAGAGAGAGAGAGTGCAAGCTGGGGTTGGGGGAGAAGCAGAGGAAATCTTAAGCAGGCTCCATGCTGGGGGAGCCCCAGTGCAGGGTTCGATCTCACAACCCTGTGATCATGACCTGAGCCAAAATTAAGAGTTGGACGCTTAACCGACTGAGCCACCCAGGTGCCCCTTTGTATTCCTTTTTTAATGATATAAACTCTAGATGCTACAAAATAGGCATGGGCCCCAGGCCAATGTGATACTCCGGCTAACTTTAAAGACACCAGCAGCTTCTGTAAGAGGAGATACAGGGCAAAGGTCTTGGGGTGTGGGTTGCTGTTGGCCAGTGTGAGGTGTAAGAGCTTTATAAGAAAGTGTGGATGACTGAGCACAAGTATTTCATCAGAGGAACACTGGAATTCTAAACAGAGCTGGTGAAAACCAGTTAGAACACTGGATTTCTTTTTGTTTTGTTTTGTTTTTAAAGATTTATTCATTTGAGACACAGAGATACAGAGAGAGAGAGAGAGCATGAGCAGGGAGAGAGGCAGAGGGAGAAGGAGAAGCAGGCTCCCCGCTGAGCCAGGAGCCCGATGTGGGGCTCGATCCCAGGACCCTGGAATCATGACCTGAGCCGAAGGCAGACGCTTAACCATTTGAGCCACCCAGGCGCCCCAGAACACCGGATTTCTAACTTCAGTACCCTCTGAGCAATGTTGCTTAGCCATGGCCTTGCTCAGTTTGGCCCATGCTGATCAGTGTCTTCCCTGGCAGGTGCAAGTGAATCATGTACCCTGAGGTTCAGGCCTAAGAACAGGTTGCACATTGCTGATTGAGCTGACCCTGGCTCACACGGAAAAGGCAGGGGCATTACCCAAGGCTGCCCCCTTGAACTTCCTTATTGATTCAACCCAGGAACCACTCTGTTAAACAAATATATATGTTTACAGTAGGAAAGAATGCAAGAGAAAGTCCATTCATCTTGCATGATAAAGGGCTTGCAAAATCACTGTATATTTTAACTCTACCTCTAATTGCAAATCTGTCCAAACATTTTTTTAAAAAGTGCTGGAAAAAAATTATGGCCTTGTGGTGTGTTAGCAAACTTGCCAACTGATGGGGATGAAGAAAGTTTGCATACTTTGGAGGAAAGCCGTTTCAAAATACGTGGAAGAAATTCTTTTTTTTTTTTTTTAAGATTTTATTTATTTATTTGACAGAGAGACAGCGAGAGAGGGAACACAAGCAGGGGGAGTGGGAGAGGGAGAAGCAGGCTTCCTGCCGAGCAGGGGGCCAGATGCGGGGCTCGATCCCAGAACCCTGGGATCATGACCTGAGCCGAAGGCAGATGCTTAACCGACTGAGCCACCCAGGAGCCCCTACATGGAAGAAATTCTTATGAATCGTAGTCTATCCTTTATATCTTGCCAGTAAGTGTAAAAAGATGTTTTGCACAGAATCTGTAGCAGAAACTGAGATTTCTCTAATACATGTGCCTGGAGGTGGTTCTCATGATCGTTTCAGTAGGCATATTTATCTGAAGTCAACAGTGATATGCTGGCCGCTGATGCTTTAGTATTTTTCTTATCCGACATTCTTTTTATGATCAAGCTCAGCTCTTTCTCTGTTGAAAGTTATTTAGTTCCAGCCATATGGAGATGTATGCAAATTATTCTCAAACTCTGAACCACTGTTCTTGATCAGGATGCAAAGATTTATGTACATATATGTTTCGGGAACTTCTGTTCAGTAACAGCAAAAAATGAGTAAGTAAAAGAATGAAAAAGGTTTCACCTTCTGCTAAAGACTGTGGTTTAAGGGGAAATTGTTCTAATTTATTTTTCTCTTTCAGACAATGGAAGAATATATGAACAAGCCTACGTTTTAGCTATGCATCTACTTGAAGAGTCCAAGTGCTACACGCTGGGAGCCTATAAATTAGCAAATTCCCGGTGTCCAGTTCTTTGACAGAGCCCCCGGCATCATGCCAAAAATAACCTAAAAGGGATTCTTTGTTAACTAGCAAAAGGTTGTTTAACATAATATATTTATCATTATTACATATCTGTATTATACTGTATATACCTACTTATTGTAGTCTGGATGTTCAAATAACTGCTTCGTGACTCAACTGACTGAATATTTGTTTTGCAGTGTTTGAACCCGTGTGATATTTTTAAGCTAATTTAAATAAATGTGTCGCAATATGTTTTTTGTTGCATTTGATTCTCTACTGACAACTGAAAAGTGCATTGTAATAACCCCTGATTTTGAATGTAAAATATATGTCATATCAATAATTCTTTTCTAAATGTTCAGCTTTTTAAATTTTGTAATAATTCCAAGTTTTGTTAAGAGTTCAGAGCTCATACATAATGCTAGACATTTTTAATATGCTTAGTAAAATGTAACTTCAGTCCAGATACAATGTATCTGATTTTAATGTCCTAAATTCATTTATTTTTTCAGGGTTGGAATTAAGGAAAATAACCAAAGGCAATAAGGGACTTAAATGGTTTTGATGTCTTAGAAGCTGCCATCTAGTTGAAGTTTTAATTTTACCTTTTAGTTGAATATTAAGGGCATTCCGATAAGGCTGTGTTTCCTACAAACTCTGTGTATTTAATAAGGATTTGAGACTTCAGAGATACAGTGTCTGTGACTTCCCTTACTATAAAAATAGTATAATGAAGACTAATACCAATAGTAGTAATTATTATTACTACTATGATTTTAATAATTTTTGAGGTTCCAAGCACTCATTGCTTGAGAGATTTTGCTTCAAATATGTTTTATTGTATGCCTACTGTATTAGAAGACTTATTGTTTATTAGACTTAGAGAATTGAATATTATTACAGCCTATATGGTAGATGCTCTTCCTTCTTTTTTATTTCCTCATGCCCCAAATTTTGCTGCTGACCATTATTATGGTGAGTATGTTGCATTCGTGCTTCCTGGAATGAAAGCTCTATATAACCAGGTAGTAAATGTGATCAGGCATTATAGGAAAATAGTTCGTCATACTCTGTCTTGATGTCCCACTTCTGATGTCCTGTCTGTGCATTTTTAATGTTAGTTTTGAGGTCTGGTATGATTCCTGTTGGAGTGGTTAGGAGCCCCTTAGTGCTTTTCCTATGAGAAGAGTATGCTTGCTGTTGTATTCTTTCTCTAGAAGATCCTATATGGTAGATCTTTAGAGAACATGAAGGAAAAATGTCCTCTTTCTGGGAAAAATGTCCTCTTTGGTTCATCTTGCCAGATAGATTTAGGGGAAAATAACAAGACAAGACCACAAGAACAGAAAAAAAAATTGATCAATTCCTCAATAGAGCCATTACTAAAATGAAATAACTCAAATTAGAATGTGAAGGAATTATTGGGCTTTTAATACCTAATATTTACTCAAATTAATCATGTGATTACAATGATGGCATGGCTTGAAGTTTAGCTGTCATTTTTGATCACTTATGTTTATTTCATGTCTTCAGATTTGTGGTTTCACTTTTTTGTTGTCAATATGGTGGAACTCTTTATTTTTAAAAAGTTTTGTAGAGATGGACTTTATATAAATCAACACAGTTTTTCTGGTTCCTTTGAAGTTTTCCACCATTTTGGGGTGAAGGTATTTATTCATGTATTCTTTCAAATTGGATACTTCCACATTAGGCACTGTTGAGCTGTATGGAGGGCTTTTCAGACTCCATGTCAGTGTCTCACCTAGAAAATGAACATAATGATATAGCACACTGTGTAAATTTGAGGGATTTGGGGGACATTTTACGTGGGTCTTGGTGAAAATAATAATTATATTTTCTTTATATTATATAATTATAATAAAACTACCAAGTGAAAGATAATAAATGCTAAATTTGTATAAAACTTACAAATAAAATGTTTTTAAATTTTTTAATGAGAAACTTGAGTGTGCTTTTATGAATATAATTATTTTTTAGTCTGATAGTCCAATTTTATGCATGAAATTGCTGCCCATACTTCCTGGTGAAGTCCCTTTAAAGTGATCTCTTTATTTTCTTGGTACTTACTGTCCAAGAGCAACTTCACAAGCATGTGACAGCAGATGAGAGAAGAGTATTTACTGTTTTGCTCCTATTGACTTCTTTCTCATCATTCACCCACATTTTTCTTTAAAGATTTTATTTATTTGAGAGAGAGAGAGGGAAAGCATGAGCCGGGGGAGGGGCAGGCAGGGTGAGAGGGAGAAGCAGGCTCCCCGCTGAGCAGGGAGCCTGATGGGCTTGATCCCAGGACCCTGGGATTATGACCTAAGCCAGAGTCAGCCACTTAACCGACTGAGCCACCCAGGAGCCCCCATTCACCCCCATTTTGATAATCTGATCTCTTTGCAGGTACTTAGTGATGCAATCATTCTTTAAATCTAGTAATTTATTTTCTTTCATGAACAAATGTAAAGTTGGCATTTACTGTGACAAAGTAAGTGAATCTTCATTCAAACTCATTTTCCAAATCAAGTCTCCTAAAATAATGATAAGGCTTTTTCATCAGCTATTGTTCTTCTAGAAGTTCCTCTCTAGGATTCATATTGTTTGAAACATCACTGTGAAACACCACTGAGGAACTGTGTTTACCTTTACTTTTCTAAGGTTAAATCAATGAACGTAGTTGTTAAATGTTAATGTATTCTTTCACACGGTCTCTGCCGTTCTGGATTAAGTCCAATCAGATGCTATGGGATGTAAGTAAAATAAGCCAATGACCGTTTTTCAGTAATTAACAAAGGAGAGGGCCATTAAATTTTTCTTCAATTCTTATTTTAGCTTTTGACAAACTTGAAAAAACTCGTCCCGGCGCCTGGGTGGCTCAGTTGGTTAAGCGACTGCCTTTGGCTCAGGTCATGATCCTGGAGTCCCAGGATCGAGTCCCGCATCGGGCTCCCTGCTCGGCAGGGAGCCTGCTTCTCCCTCTGACCCTCCCCCCTCTCATGTGCTCTCTGTCTCTCTCATTCTCTCTGTCTCAAATAAATAAATAAAATCTTTAAAAAAAAAAAAAAGGAAAAACTCGTCCCATAGACCACGTACTTTGGTATTCCAAGTGATAATCTGTTCTGTCACATAGAGCTAAAAATAGAAGGACCATAACAGCTAGGGCTGTATTACCTTCACATTTTTTTTTTTTTAAAGTAGGCTCCACGCTGGGCGTGAGGCTTGAACTCACAACCCTGAGATCAAAACCTGAAATGAAATCAAGAGTCGGACGCTTAACTGGCTGAGCTGCTCGGGTGCCCCAGCTTCGCCTTTTGCTAGTACTATTTAATATGGAATTCAGACAGACAGATGTACTTTTACTTCTGATAAGTTCTTTGTGAATAAATTCACCTATTAGCTGAATCTCAGGCTTTCTCCTTGCATCTGTACCATCAGTATTTTAGTTTTGCTCATAACTTACTTGTTTCAAAGTGTTTGTGTACTATTTTGTTAACTAGTTTGTTCCGCTACTTGATAAAATAATGTTCTAAGCATTTCTCTTCTGGGATTAACAGCCTCCTTCCTAACAAAGGTAGATTAATCTGAGGTGATACACTAATGATTTAATCATCTTCTAGATTAGAATGATTTCAATGTGTTTGACACATCCTCTTATCTGTTTACTGATAGTATTATTCAAAAAGCACTTTTGTCTTTCCTCTGGAAAATGTTGAGAGTTTCCAGGAGGCTGGTAAAATGAGCAGTTCTGCAATTGTGTGAGTCTGTGAGCTTTTGCTATGGTTAGCATAACCTTCCAACTAACTCTCTGAGCTACACCTGATGCTGTTATAACTTATATACCTGATACTGTTATAACTTATAAGAGAACGTGGCTTCTTAATACTTGCACATGTTTAAAATGCTAATCTTATGCATAAGGTGAATATTTAGTAAAAGGATGCCAGCATAATTGACTTGATAATATTTTGAAGTAAATAGGACATTTAGGCCGAAGCAAAGGAGGTATGAGGTTGCTTGGTTTCAAATGTGAGATAATCCTCATTCTGCTTCAGTAGTAATTTAAACTTTTTTTTTTTTTTACTGTTTTTTGGAGGGGGAGAAATCTGTTGAATTTGGGAAGACTCCAGTTTTAATAAATTTTTTTCATTATGGTGGAAAAATATCTGCAAAATCTAAGACTATATAAATGTAAAGAATAAAGAACTAGTGGACTTGAAGGGGTTTGTGATTCAAAAATTAAGTCTCAAAAAAAAATTGAAGTCATTTGCAGTTTTTAGAATGGCATAAAACTAAATTAAAAAATGAAAGTGTGATAATATAATTTTGCAAATTAATACAGTCAAAATCAAAAGTATTGAAATACTAGTTTTCCTTTAATAAAATAACCAAACTTCTAAAGACATCTTAAAATATAAATGTTACTTTTACTTATGTAGGAGTAAATATATTTTGGAGAAACTAATGAATTGATTAAATTATGGTTTTCTGTCTATAGAAATAGGCATCTTTTTATTTCTGGAAAAACATTTTTAATATCCAACAATTTGGATAAATATAACAATTGCACTACTAGGTATTTACCCAAATGATACAAAAATATTAGTTTGAAGGGGTACATGAACCCCAATGTTTATAGCAGCATTATCTACAATAGCCAAATTATGGAAAGAGCCCAAGTGTCCATAGACTGATGAATGAATGAAGAAGATGTGGGGTGTGTGTGTGTGTGTGTGTGTGTGTATATACACACATGATGGAATATTACTCAGCCATAAATAAGAATGAAATCTTGGGGGCGCCTGGGTGGCTCAGTCCTTAAGCGTCTGCCTTCGGCTCAGGTCCTGGGATCGAGCCCCGCGTTGGGCTCCCTGCTCAGCGGGAAGCCTGCTTCTCCCTCTCCCACTCCCCCTGCTTGTGTTCCCTCTCTCACTGTGTCTCTCTTTGTCAAATAAATAAATAAAATCTTTAAAAAGAAAAAGAAGAATGAAATCTTACCATTTGCAATGAGGTGGATGGAACCAGAGGGTATTATGCTAAGTGAAATAAGTCAGTCAGAGAAAGACAAATACCATATAATTTCACTCATATGTGGAACTTAAGAAACAAAATAAATAATAGGGGAAAAAAAGAGAGAGGTAAACCAAAAAACAGACTCTTACCTATAGAGAACAAATTGCTGGTTCCCAGAGGTGAGGTGGGTGGGGGATGGGTGAAATAGGTGACGGGGATGAAGGAGGGCACTTGT